AACACTGATAAAGACAGCTGCTGGTATTCGTATTGAAAAAGTGTTTGATTTTGATTTCTCAATATTACAAGCCCATCAGGTCTTGGTCTCTGTGTACAGGCAAGTTCGTAAAAGATGCCTACAAGATTATAATAATCAGGTGATCTTTTTTCCTTCTCCTTCATCATACATTCAATATAATGAGAAGGCCAATGACATTCCTCTGGTACTTGTATATCTGCATTTCTTCTGACTTCAGCTTGGTCATCTATCGGCAAAACATACAGAACAAAAGAACATAGTTGTCGATATTCTTTGTGGACACAAAATTTGTTCTTTGTAGGATAAACATGGCCCTTATCAGATTACAAAAAAAAAAAGTTATGTAGGTATATGATCTAGTATGATTTCTCATTGAAAACATAAACAAAAGCCCCTATGGTCTCCTATTTGAAAATGGCGTCTCCTCGCTTAGAGCTGAAAGTTGCATATTTTTTTTTTGAGGAAACGGAGGGTCGAACGCCTATATTTTTTGCCAGTGAAGGTATTTTTAGGGTTGTGCGTAAGTATACTGAAAGGAAACAAACGTCGTCATATTGTGCTCGAGTACGCTCTCCTTTAGGCTCAGATTGGTCTCGTTCAGGGGATCGAAGGAGAATGAGAGATTTTTCACTCTCTTTCTAATTTTCTGTTAATCACTCCCGTCTCTTTCTAATGGGAGTTTTCCGAAGACGAGACTCATGACCCTGCAAAACCAAGTATTTAGAATAGACAGCAAAGGAATACAATGTGTTAGAACCTTACTTGTGAAGGTTGAAGTGACTGTAGTTAGCAAAAACACGATGATGATAACGCGAGCAAAAGTCTTCATGTTGAATATTAACATTAACTCTGAACATAACCTGAAGACAGAACACAATTAGCTTTCTTTTTAATGTAGGGAGGGATATTGCTTAGAAAAAGCAGGTGGTATTCCTGGGGTACTTCATACAATGGTTTTACGGAAGGCTTCGCCCGATAAAAGAACCTCTTTCTGGCTTCACGTAATATGGAAGGGTAGGAAAATCAGTCATTCCGGTCTGTAAAAGCCTCAAGAGGGCTAACATCTACATTTTCTGGCTCTTAAAAGTGGAGAAAACATTTTGTTTCCCACAGTTTTATCGGGTTCTCCTCTTATAATATTCAATACAACACAAGAGAAAAAAAATGTTTTGTTAGGTGATTGATTTATATTTGAAAGACAACAGAGATGCAAAAGTTCTAACCTAGGTGTGTAAAAGGGGTAACAAGGGGTACCTTTTCTGTAAAAAAGGTATAATTATATTAAAAATATAGGGGATTGGACCATCAGGCGGAGCGTACCCGTAATACTTTGTTGAGTGCCCCTCCCCGCTCCCGCACATTTGCTCAGCTGTCAGGATAAACAGAATGGCCCAGCATTTCTAAACAAATGGATTGGCGTTTTAGTTAGTTTATTTTACGACTTTTCCAAGCATTATTCAGAGGGAAGCTTAGAAGAAATTACTTAAGCGTAGAGAATAAATTTAAATAAAGTTGAACTCTCTTAATGCGTATTAGTTAAACGAAATACCAGTGCCTTGGAAGCAAAATATTAAAATACTTACGTTTTGGTTTTCTTTCCTGAAATAATTACTAAGTACCCCTTTTCTTAACAGATATAATTATATCACGGCCAAATGTCTAAATACCGGTCCTTTTCAATTTGTTGGGATTACTGCAATTCTCAAAGTAACCGATGGTTGCTTAAAACGTCAAATAAGGGGCATCATAATTATTTTTGAGACAAACATGATGACAAAGCCATTTTGTGTGTTCTCAGTGTGTTTTTGTCGTAGTCACCAAAATTAAAATACTGACATGCTTTTTACTTATCGATTTTTTCGTTTAATATTGAAGTTACCTTAAAAATTTCTCTTTTAATGGAATTAGGGAAGTTCTCTTTTAGTTTTTGTTCCACTTCATTTGACATGTTAGCATCTAGAAACATCCTGCTTCAATAACTCAGAAAAAGAGCTATTGATTGCAATGGATGGAATTAATAACTGTAGATGGAACCCGTGTTTACATAGTAATATCATAGGTGACGAATTACTCCTTAATTTTGGCGCGAAATTTCAGCGTTAATTTGTAATTTCACGTGTGAAATTACAAAATTGCCATGGCAACCCTTCCGTACAACTCAGTGTCAAGATGGCGACGAAGTTAAAATGCCGTGAATGAAGATGTCAGGGCACAGAAAGACGCTTTAGAAAACCTGAACACGCGAAAGAGCACATCAAGAAGGATTCTAACAGGTATTTTGCCGAAAAATTCTGAACTTTATAAGTCAAATTTAAGGTCTAAACATTTGAGAGAGTAGAGTTCTCGATCGATACGATCCAGGATAAACATGTCAAAAATCCAAGATTGCTAACGTAATTCGTCACCCATGATATTAATAGGTAATCAAATGGTATGCTCGTGAAATTAGGGAATAATTTCACTCGTCACCATTTGATTACACATACTAATCTTGAGCTCATGTTCAGCTTAATTAAAGTGTGGTATTTACCTTTTTTAATATCAATTAACCCTTATTAATCCAATTTTTTGAGTAACTCACTTCAAAATTTTACCTTAAAGCTCAGTAATTTGTGCTTTTAAATATAATCTGCTTCAACGGTTAAGTAGCTCTGTCATTGAAAAAAAATCTCTTGAGCTATCATACGAAAATCTTCGGTCTCCAGCTCATATTCAGATTAATTGGTTTCAAAAGTTCTGTTTTTAAGGCAAAATATTCTTCTTCAAATATACCCATCCTCCCTCTCCAGAAAAAAAGCCCTTTCTTTATACGACAATGTTCCTGTCGCCAACTAGAACCATGTTAAAATTCAACCTATGAGAAAAAGTTAGGAACAACAGCGCTGACAGGGTATACTAAAGAATTGAATAAAGTTCATTTTCCAGGTAACCCTAGAACTGAACAAGAGCAAATAGATTGCCCCACAGTTTGACCGTGCCAATCAATTTCTTCTGATAGAAATTTAGGGAATGTACACACTTGGTGCCCGAGAACTAGTGCCTGGGTAGTGACAAAATGGTGTTTTGTTCACACCTTGGCTATACCTAAAATGTAAACTGTACATTATTTACTCCTTTTTGCCCTCTGTGAGACGCCATTTTGAAACGCGAGCAGATTGCAGTAGATTACCCAGAACAAACAAAAAACGGTGTACACCCCGCAGGTGACCAAATCCCTTTTTAGTGCCAATGTATAAGGTCTCGATTTTGTCCTCGGGCACCGACCACACGCATTAATTCGGGCGTGGATACTTGTTAAAAGCGTGTGTTCACATTAGTGTCCAACGAGTACCGCACTCGGGCTTTGTACCCATGCACCAAGTGTGAACCAAATGCGTCTATGTGTACGTCAACAGTTAGTATGCGCATGCGTTAGTATTCAGGAGCGAAATGTTAGTTGAGTTTGTTGTTGGTTCTCTTTTCTGCTCCAAGACTGATGGGGGTTTTTTAAGGTACATTCAAACCTCGTTTGATGACTGACACCCACTTAATTGGGACACCCCGTTAATACGGACACTTTCTAAGGCCCCCTCCGTGTCCTTATTTGCGGGGTTTGAATTTCCTTTCATTTCACTTGGCATTGCTTATTTCAAAGAAAGAAAGACATTAAGGAAGCTATCTCCTGGTGATTTGAGTGAAGAAAGCTGTAATTATGAGCAATTTTGGTGTATTCTTTGAGATTGTTTTAACCCCTTTAGATGGCCGGCATTTCCCTACCGGTACATTAAAGAAACGGTTACGAAGCTGTAGGGACTATACGACTACGGTTTAGTATTTTTTTTCAAATCAACCATTACAATTTTGTAGGCATTACAACACCCATAAAAGCCCAGCTTTTTGGGCCAGTCACCTCACCCAGAAACAATTGCGGGTTATATTTTGATCCTAGTTCCTTTCGCATTTCTAAAGTAGCGAGTGGAAGTGATAACATTGTTGTGACACGTCTCGTTGGTAAACGTACCATAATTATAACGTTGCAGGAAAGTAACACTATTTGTCAGTTTTATTTTTTCCATATATTAACTTACTAGCTAATTAACTAAAAGTTATCTTCAACAAGTTCTTGAAAGTTCTTGTCAAACTTACACATATATGCCAAAAAAAAATACGAAAAACATATATGTACAAAAGGTGTAAATATAATAAACAATTGAGATAAAATAAATTTTTGACAACAAAGAGCCAATATAAATATCAAAAGCGAAAATCCTTATGTGGATCATTATACTTTTCTGGGAAACTGCCCACCTACCCTCCCTAAGCCAACGTTAACCCTATTTTTTCTTTGCACGGTCTAAAACAGAGCTCTAAAATGGCAGGTAGTATTTTTCTGGCCTCGGTGTTTGGAGACAGACGTTATCTACCCTTAAATCATTAACTTACAAGACGTACATGAAATCAGTGAAAATTGTTAATAAATGCTACATGTACATGAAGGTGTGCTGAAGCAGAAACACATTTTGTTTTTGTCCATAGAGTCGATTAACTCAAAAATGGAAGGTTTAAGCGCAGGTCCAGTGTAACAAGATGCATTTTAGGACAACAGCATTAAGATATTAAAAAAAGCTTTTTAAACAGTCGAGGCCTAGAGGAAAACAACAGTGGCTGATTTCAACAGATCAGATCCAAAGCCAGACTGGTTATCTGGATGATTTCTTTTGGTAAAAAAGGACAATAACTGTACAGGTTATTCTCTACTTTTTGGGAAAAACTAACTCTTTTTTAATACTCGTGTTCGTGGAGTTCCACATTTCTCTTCTCTATCTTACCGTCAACGGTTGCTTAACTTTAATTTAAAGTGTAACCAAGCAACAAAAACGCGCTAGTTATCAAGTATTTCAATGTGAAAGTACGATAAACTATTGTTTGTTTAAGAGCTGTGTGGCCTCTGGAGCTTAATGCTCCTTTCTCACGGCAACCAGTTTCTCTAGAATGTCTTTTCATGGCTCTACCTCATCGCTGTCGCACGGTAGGACATTCCAGCCGCGAATAGCGTCACCCTGGAAGTCAATGCCTCTGTCCTTGAAAAATATATTCTTTATACAACCGCTAAAACCAGTATTAAACTTCGCATGTGTCATTTTTGCGATATTGTCACCGCCTCCTATTGGAAATAAAAGGAAAAAACATAAAGATAATACAGGCTATAATATCCTGTTCAAATGAGAAAAAGACCTTGATCATCCTGAACACTGACGAAGGAGGTAGACTTTTAGATGATACTAACGGACTATCCACACCCAGTTTGCTTGGTAGCTTAATAGGTAAGAGCACTGCACCGGTACCGCAGAGGTCAGGGTTGGAGTTATGTATTATCTTGTCTCCATTTGTTTCTTCTTCCCGCAATTAAAATATATGAAATCCATATATTTCTGACTGCCCATTCTGATCGTAGGGATGACTGATAAGATAAGGATATACAATGCACTTACCCATAAATATGTTATACCCTTGGTTAATATTCAGCCCTTTGCTTCCCTCAGCTGAGGTGCCATTTACGTGATCATCATAATCAACTTTAAGGGAACCCTCACTGAAACTCCTACAAAATTAAAACGACAAAAGTCACTAATCTAATAATTAAAATAACTTATGAATGACGTCAGGCAGTCAGTGCTGCTTCATATTATATAGAGGCCAAAATCAATAACTGATTAAAATTTTATTCATGGTTGACAGTCGGGGGGTTTATTCTTGGGCCCTTCCTTGTTCCTCAAATGTAACGAATCGAGAATACGGAGATCTAGGAACTATTATTTCAAGATTGTAGTTGAAAAAGTTTCTTACCTGTAAACCTTGATGGAGTGCCATTGGCTGTCGTTGACTGGAGACAGGGATTGTAGTACAGCGGGCCCAGAACCGAGTTCAAATCTACGAAAGACGTAACTGATTTGTTAACATGATTTTAAAGTATTCTCAGGGTAGGGGCCGATATATTTAGTTCCTGGTTATTTGCAGTAGCGGATCCGGGGAGGGGCCCGGGGACTCGTCCCCTTATTTTTTTATGTAGATCAGTGATCAAGGATTAATGTGTAACAAATTTAACCGAGGATGTGCTTCATTCAATTTCATAGTTAACTACTTTTAATCAGTGTTTTTGCCCAAATTCTCAGCAAAATCATCAATATGAGAAAAAGACGCAAAGCAATACCATTTTTTAGCTTCGATTGACGTGCGTCACTCAAAAACGCTTTTGCTTAATCTCCCTATTATTTTACTGCCCCCGGATGTGAAGTGGGTTATGTGATCCATCAGTACTTTGATGTAGCGAAATATATTCTTTTAATACGTGTATATTGTCTATGTTTTTTAGTGCATTACATATTTCAGAGGCAATTTTAGCGACATTCAGATGCGTCAGAGTCTTATATGCGACCAGCTCCCATTAGCGACCCCAAACTTTGGGAAATTTTTGGTGGTCACATACATGTATGGGTGTTTTTACTCTGAAAGCAAAGAATACAAAATTTTAGAAAGAGACCAGTTGTTGGGCCGTCAAGAGTCCTAAAATAATTACCTGAACTCCAGAAATCCGTCTCTTAATCCGATTGCAAAGTGGTCTCTTCTCTGGAAGGAGCAAGAAGAAACATTTTTCATAGGGACACCGAATTGATCCGGGTGAGAACATGAGGTATGTATTTGTTGCTTGATGCCTTACAGATCAAGGGAACTGTTCGTAATGCAAGGGGCCTGTGTGTGTGAAATATACACGAACGCGTTGGCAAAGAGATACGGAAGTGTTTTAGAAAAAAGGTTTTGTTCTTACAATCTTTTAATAATTAAGAAAAAGCTCAGAACTGAATGTGGCAAAGTAGATGGATGTCTTTTCTGGTCATCGGGTTATCAGGCATAAGTTATAAACAATCTCTGTTGGCCGAACTCCTTACAACACTCTATTTTACCTCTCCTTGCCAGAGGATTACACCATTTTGAGCTTCTGTTTTTATCTCAAGTGACATATAGTCAGGTGTTGTCGATCTGTAAAAAAAAATGGACGCATGCATGCTCAAAGCCGTAAACATTGCACTGTGGATTATAAGGTATTTCGGCTATAAAATACCAGGATGGAAATAAATTGGGCGCTCATTTTGTATTATAACAGTCGTAAAATTCTCCTGATGGTGAGAAATTTTCTCTCAGAAGGTTCACTGAACACCAAAGAAAAAAACCTCACCTCGGTCCTCGCATGGTCGATGATGGGAATTCCAAGAGACCGTCACCACTGAACAAGGCATTTTTTCCAAGCTGGACAGCTACAACGAAACAGCCAGTCAGCAAGAGTCACTGGAATCGACTCAACTATACGTTGCCTCATGCAAGCTCTTTTAAAGAACTTTGCACCGAAAACGTTAAAATAAACCCAACAGCAGAAGTTTCCGCTGCCTTTGCTCTGATGACACTGTATTACGCAAATTGGCCTAAGTCCGACAATCGACACCCTTGCACGGAAGCATCCATGATGTCTCCTTCTTGCTAATATGCTTACTGAGTAAACGGCAAATCACAAGACTACAATGTGTGTTTTAATGTATTCAACGATCACCAACATATACATTTTTTAGTCTATCACACTATTTCTTCACTGAAAGCAAAAAATGGTAGCTTTTAAATTTGGCACTGTTAATGGAAATTTGTGCTCAGAATCACAAAACGGAATTTCTAAAGACCTAAAATATTAAAATTTTCCGCGGAATGCCTTATACCCCATGCCCTCCTCGGCTCGATTATCAATCTAGACGAAAATACCACATAAAGAACCCCGCTATACAAAAATGCTGGCTACGCCGCTGGGCAGCAACAACAAAAAAACAACAGCAACAAGCAAGCCAACAACATACATTAAAAAGGAAAGAAAGAAATGTCTCTCAGAAACGGGGCTCAGAAGAATTATCCACATACCTTTCACAGTTCCTGCCAGTATAACCAGGTTGACATGAGGTACACGTTGGTCTGCCGTCTGTGTCTAGCTTACAAATTCGGCTAAACCTGTTAAACAGTTACATCAGCACCATTGATCAGTATCAGCTCACACTCTCTAAGCAAGAGTAAATAAGGTGAGACAAAAGTGGTTTACATTGTGTGAGTTTCCATAATGACTTCATATCGTAGCTTGATGATAGGTTCGATGCAATAGCCACCATCCTCGGAACCTAAGGCTTAGAAAAAAATGGGACATCTGAGGTCAGAATCTTAATAGGCAACGTTTAGATTGTGGTTTGGTTTTATCCTTGGGTTATTTTTTCCTTTGTTTTAAACTCATTTTCGTAAATTACCGTATTGAAAACGATTGCAAAGATAAAATTGAAGCTCGACATACACATCAAGAAAGGAAAAGCTCCCAAGGGCCTCTCATGGGTGAGTAGGAATTAACGGGATCTCTGAGGTACTTACTGATAGGATGGGGTCGTCAGAGGACAAGGACACAGTTGACAGTCTTAAGACGTTCCTTTGGTGGCGTCGCCATAGTAACCAACAGCACACTTCTCGCGTTTGACGCCTGCGGTATTGTGATCACATACCTGGAATTCGCAACCAAGGAAATAGTAATAAATACATAATTTTCAAATAAAATGGAAATAACCAATGTTATTATATATAAAACAAGCGAGTGCAAGGTCTTTATAAACACGATAAAGACATTTCTACAAGTGCGATTCTTCAGTTTGCATTTTAAGAATAAAATTTTAAAAAAAAACCTTTTAAAATGATCATACTGCCATCTGGGTGAAAACCTGTTGCTCAAAATAAGAACGGCTTGGAAACTAAAATTTGATAGCATTTTGTTTTGAATAAGGGTATGGGCATGATTTTCAGTTGAACATGCCTAGCGAGCGCAAAAATCGCATCCAGTCTGAGGATTAATGAGAGAGGGAAAATTTTATATATTTAGGCATGTCAAAATTCAAGGGAACATTGGTACTTAGAAATAACATCTCATAGGCTAACTCATAGGCATGGAAAAAAAGGGTTCATGCCCTCGCGGCCCAAAAACCCAGCTAAACTTAGGTCCCAGATCTCTCGCCGGGTTGATAATTCATTCCCAGTTTTTGCTCCTCTGGTTTGGCATGCCGGGCATGCCGATGATGAAGCCAGTTGGTTTGGCATGTCCGGCATGCCAGGCAAGAAATTGGCATGCCCAGCGAGACTGATTTTGATGTTCGCTTCGGCATCATATCCCTAGAATCACATATAATCGCCAAATATATCTTAGGGAGCTTGAAGTTACAGGTTTCATGCCTGGCAATAAATGCAGATTATAACAAAAAAAGTCATGTTTGTCACGTGTGTCACGAGATCGACTGGCAAAACTGAAGACAGAAGCCTGGATTTATAAATAAAAAGCACAACAAAACAACATTATTCATGCATAAAATAGAATACTTAACTTGCAATCAAAGATTAATCCTTTTATTTCAAACCGATACTGACATTTCTGGGTCCATATTTAAATTTGATCGCGGAAAAGCGTCTTAAACAATAAGATAACAAATCTTCTCAGTATAAACTTATCCATGCTTAGGTTTTATCGCGTCGGAATGTTTCCTGGTCAACAGCATAAAAGACTGGTGAAAATTAAGCTTACCAGGTCGTTCAAGTCAGTACGAGAGTACGACGTTAATACTGCAAAGACGTTCTGATCTGGTGAATTTGGACTGCCTTCTCAGAGAGATTTTGCTTAGTTTTTCAGCGCGCTTCTTGTCGGCTATGCGAATCTCGCAAACTGTTTTAGTCCTTGCTGACGATAGTCCTTTGAGCAACGTCATCTGCGTCATCCGAAGATACCCCGAGCACGCACGAAATCGGCCGAATTTCCGCAGAAGTGTTGTCGGATGACGATGAATCTAGTTTGTTGTAGCGTGGCAGTTGTGGCGTCACGATGTCGTCATGTCTCTTCGCATTTATTTGTCTTTTTTTTCTGCGGTGCATGGTTGAGATGCTGGTGAAAGCTGGACAAGAAATGGATTCTGCGAGAGACTGTAAGTACAAATTTAGTATTAATTTGGTAAAGAAAAAGCCTGAATATCGAACAAATCCCGTGAATTAGTCTTTTGGCATTCAGTTTATCTTACTGTTGAGCATGCCTAAGAACTCCGGCATAAGTGTCATAAGTGGTTGTCAACTCGTTCACTTCGGATTGTTTCTGTTTGTACGTCTTGTACTCTTCTTCTGCTGCTAAGAAGACTAGAGAAAATCTCAAAAATAAAGAAACCAAAGCTAAAAAAAGTCAGATCTAATTTTATAGCTCGAGTATAATTATTTTTGGCACCTACGGTCATATTTTTTCACTGTACTGGTAAAGTTACTTATTTTTGCTGCATAGTTTGACTGTTGTTCGAAAGACAATCAAACGGATATTACAATCACTTTTGGAGACAAAATAAAATATCCGTAAATCAAATGGCAAAATCAGATTTGGATTTCGCTTTATAAAAATGAACATGCTGCAGGTGTCAATGCAAAGTTGTAAACAACTCAATATAAGCAGTCTGTGAATGTGCGTTTAGGTCCACAAAACTAATTTTTCTTTTGGACATCTCATCCAAGTAAAGACTTAAGGCCTACATTGCTTGTCTACGAGTGTACTACAAAATGCTTTGCTACAGTAAGCCTCTGAGAGGCGATTCTGGTAAATTTATAGGACGCTAAAATGCAAATAATTCTAAGCTTAAACAACCTGGCTGGGTCCGACTTTTGAATTACAAAATGTTCACGTTTGCTGGCTCTACTTTAAATGAACATGGTTTTTGAAATGATTTTGTACTATTTTAACCCGAAAATTATGACTGGGTTATGAAGCTTTTAAAACGGACGAAAACTAAGCTAATAACATGTTCAATGTAAAAAACTAAGATTTAGTCGCTTTTTCAACTTTGCTTTGTGGGCCGAAAAATTTACCTTTACGCAAAAACAAAAGCAAACAATGAGGCTTTTATTCGACATATTTTCTCAGAATTTTATCTGATCAATTTAATGTCACTAGCATTGTTTTCGTATAGGAATTTTCCTAATTATATGAGCTTTTCCTTTAATAATTTTGATACTCTATAAACTTCTCATTTGATAGCTTCACTTTTTTATACACCGATTGAGAAACAAATTCGCTCTCGTTAAATCCAATTTTATGACCTATTTATTAGAACTCTAGGTAACATACCAAATGGTGTAACCGGACAGGCTTTAACCTTTGGTCCTAATTTATTTTTTCTTCGCATCCCCTAATCAGTTGACGGGCCGTGAGAGAATATCGCCAGAAAAAAGATGCGAAAAAGTTTTCGCTGAGTTTCCTTTACATATTTCGGCTTTATATGGGTCTACACCTTACCTGCTTAAAAATGAAACTGTTGTTCAATTAAGCCAGTCAAACTCGGTATAATCTTGACTTGCAAATCCAAATGCAAAGGTTTATTTCGCAGTAGAAGAGCATGTAAACATCATCGAACAACGCAATGTAAATTGGCTAATGTGAAACCACGTTTCTTTCACTTTATTTACCATGCATTTATCTCAATTGCACACTCTTGTGAAATTAGCCTCAGACAATTAGTTGCGACCTTTAACAGACTCAACAAGCCAGTATGAAAATATGTTAAGAGAAGTGGAGCTCTACATGTTCTTTTTCTTTTTTCTCATATTGCCCTTGCATGTGTTAACATTCCATTTCTTTTTTGTTACAGGTAACTTCCAGACATGACGAGGAGATAATTACTTTTCTAGAGAGCAATTCTTTGATACTGTCAGTTATTACTGACTTACTTTGAGTTAAAAACAGAGAAAACAGACACTAGTAATGACACAAAAACAATAATCCCAGGCAAGCGTACAAAACAAGAAAGAGGAACTCAGACTCCTTATCAAAATGTGAAACAAGACAGCTTTTCTAACGTAGGGAAATTTGCTTTAGAGAGATTTGTAATTGCAACGTTATATTCAAGCACATTGCATTGTCAAACATCATAATTTACTGAATAATGAACAATGATTTTGAGGCTTAGCTCAGTTTGTAATGAACTTTGAAAGATATTCTATAACCTTGTATTTTTAAAAGCTTTCATGGAACATAGACGCATTTTATTATACAATGAAAATAGTGTCTGTCTCTCTATTTACTGATTTCAGTCAATTCCATTTTATTCGCAATGTGAAATGGGAATCCTATTAAAGACTCATTAAAAGGGGTGAGGAGTTTTTACAATCCCCCAACAGGTCATCTCCACGATGATGCTGTTTTATTACTACGGCAGAATCCCTCAGGGTTTTACTTTCTTGTGAAAATTAGAGCTTTTGTTATTTAAACTTCGCTGGGACAACCAAATGGAATAGCAATGACGTCATCGTGTAACCGTACATCAAAAGATAAGCACGGTGATCTGTTTAGTTTTTTTTTTTAGCCAGGCTTAAAATATCTGTAGATTCAAGGAATTATAACCTGTGCGTTGAGAGCATGCCAGAGACCGATTTTGGCATGCCCGGCATGACCCAGATTATGGCACGCCCGGCATGCTAGAGAATTTGTCATGCCGGGCATGTCAGAGAATGTGGCATGCCCGGCATGCCGGAGATTTTGCTGGGTATGAATTAATTATTACTAGAACCTAGGCTTCTCGCGGCCTGGGTGAGAAGGTCACAGAACCTCAAATTGTGCTTACAGGGCATGCGAAATTCTGTTGCATGCCAATTTCGATGCAAAACCACTCTGGGGCCACCCCCTCTATTACCAGTGAGCAAATCATTGACGATAGGCATGGGAAAAATCCTTGCATGCTAACCAACATTGAAAACGTAGCAGAAATGTCCTTAGTTGCTGAGTCATGCCCTAGGGGAGGCTTTAAAATACAGAATTTCCTGACATGGATGAGAGAATTTTCCGTAAACAGAATGTGATCATGCCGGCTAGGACGCATTTCCTCCGTATTGCCCCTTTTTACAGCTAGCTAGGCTCATTTTTAGGTTCCATGGCCTGAAATGACGAAAAATTCATGCCCTGA